GTGTGTGCTGCATTATTTTATTTAAAGGTCAAGGTGAATTTTCTGTGTATGGTTGGAAACTTGGAAATTATGCATATAATTTCCTTCCAGTCTGAACTTACAATTCAGAAGAGAACAGTGAGATGTCCTGTAATATTTCAAATATTTAGCAACCACCTATTGTGAATGAGATATGCTTTTTGTTGTTGTTTTTATTTCTTTTCTTTTTGAATGAGATATTCTACTATATGTAGCAAAAGACTTGGTCTCTGCTTTTGACATTCTCACAAGATGGAGGTGGAAGTAAACTTCCAGGAACTGAAGGGTCTGAGCTGTTAGCCTGCTTTCAAGCTAACAAACTAGTCTCTTACTGCTTACTCTTACTTTTCTGGCAAAAAGACATGAGAGTCCTGGTTCAGAGACAAGGGACCTTATTACTCATGGCAAAAGCAGTATCCAGAGCTCTAAGCTAGTATGTGTCAGTTCCCCATGTGCTGAGGTCTCAGGGTGATGCTAAGAGCCCACCATGGATGCCTGCACATGTATGCTGAGCTGCGTTACTGGGAAGGAACACTGAGACCGGGAATCCCTGTCCTTGTAGTAAATCTACACTTTGTCTAGGGGAGACATTCCCTCATTACTCAAGATTTCTTGGTGGAAACACAGCCCTGGGAAATGAATTGGGTAAAGAAAAGTCAAGGCCTTACATTCTTGGCATATCCAGCAGAAACTTGAGGGTGTGCTCAGGGCCCATGGCAGATGGCCTCTCCCAACATAGATCTGTAAGGAACATCAGCTCCATGACCAATGTCTATCATCACAAGGCAATAAAGAATAAATGGTGCAGGCATTTAAGAGAATAATTCATATAAAGCCCAACCCCCATCCCTTGTAATTATTAGCACATGCAGGGCTATTGCTGGATATTTCCTCATCACTTCTGTTTTATGCTGTGGAACTCTCCTTATCATTATACCTTCTATAATTATATCTTAGCTGATAATGGCCTCCCATGGGACCTCTTTCTTTATGCAAAGAGAGAAGACAGTATAGGGGGAAAAAAGCTAGTGAATGAACTAGCAGAAATAAATGTAAGACAGTTTTTCCTCATTTTGTCCAGCAAGCAACGGTATCAATATTCTGAATTCTTTTTTTTTTTTTTTTTTTGAGATGGAGTCACTCTATTGCCCAGACTGGAGTACAGTGACGTGATCTCAGCTCACTACAACCTCCACCTTCCAGGTTCAAGTGATTCTCCTGCCTCAGCGTCCTGAGTAGCTGGGATTATAGGTGCCTGCCACCATGCCCGGCTAATTTTTGTATTGTTAGTAGAGACAGGGTTTCACCATGTTGGCCAGGCTGGTCTTGAACTCCTGATCTCAGGTGATCTGCCAGCCTCAACCTCCAAAAGTGCTGGGATTACAGGTGTGAGCCACCACAGACTGGCTCAATGTCCTAAACTCTTAATGTTCTTAACATGTAGGCATATGTAAGTTGTCATGGCTGTCACCTTTCTCTGTTAACTGTATTATTAATATCCATAATTTACTTGAAATGGAGAGATTTAAAAAATAATTTATTATTTGTAGCTTTGCCTAAGTATCTAAAACTGCTTTTTTTCTCTTGTGTTTGTTTTAGTTCATTATATACATAGCTTCCTTCACTATATTAGCATTAATATCATCAAAATGCTAATAACATCAGAATGTCCAGCAGCAAAACTCAATATCCGCAATGAAAGACCTGCCTTCTTTACACATTTGCCATTTTGAATAACCTTTTTTTTTTTTGCCTTCTTTACACATTTGCCATTTTGAATAACTTTTTTTTTTTTTTTTTTTTGTGGGAGTCGCACTCTTGCCCAGACTACACTGCAGTGGTGCGATCTCAGCTCACTGCAACTTCAAACCCTCGGGTTCAAGCGATTCTCCTGCCTCAGCCTCCTGAGTAGCTGGGATCACAGGTGCCTGCCACTGTGTTGGGCTAAGTTTTGTATTTTTAGTAGAGATGGGGTTTCACCATCTTGGCCAGGCTGGTCTTGAACTCCTGACCTCGTGATCCACCTGCCTGAGCCTCCCAAAGTACTAGGATTGCATGTGTGAGTCACTGTGCCCAGCCATTAAGGGATTTTATAGAATGTGGATTTCAGTGTTGATAAAGGATTCTGATAAAGCTGTCAAAAAGCAGAGATAGCCTGGCCAACATGGTGAAACTACTGCTCTCCAAAAAAGAAATTCAAAAATTAGACAGGAGTGGTGGTGCGAGCCTGTAGTTTGGCTACTTGAGAGGCTGAGGCATAGCCTGGGGGACAGAGTGAGACTCCCTCTATTAAAAAAAAGAAAAAAAAAAGCAGAGATAAAGGCATTATTTAAGCCAGAAAAGAATTCTGAAGAAACACAAACACAATACCAGGTGGTATGCGATTACTTAGAAAAACACCAAGCATTTAAACAAGCTGGAGGGAAAAAGTCTTTCTGGCATGTGTTTCAGATGAATACGTTTTATGAGACAAAGCAAGGCTGCCTCATGATGCATGTGCAAACAAAGGTCTGAGTTGTTTCTGTCTGTGAGTAGTTTCATTTGGTAGCATATGTAAAATTAATATTGTTTTTAAAAGGGTATTCATTCAAATGATAGTGGACTATGTGGTCAATAAAAATGAAATTTCTAGATTGAGGACAAAGTAAAGGTATTGTTTATATTTTAGCAATGGTACATTATGAGATGTGGCTATTGACTTGGTGTGGTGGCTCACGTCTGTCATGTCAGCACTTTGGGAGGCTGAGGCAGGTGGATCACCTGAGGTCAGAAGTTTGAAGTCATCTGACCAACTCAGTGAAACCCTGTCTCTACTAAAAATACAAAAATTAGCTGGATGTGGTGGCAGGCACCTGTAATCCCAGCTGTTCAGGAGGCTGAGGCAGAAGAATCACTTGAACTTGGGAGATGGAGGTTGCAGTGAGCCAAGATCATGCCACTGCACTCTAGCCTGGGTGACAAAGTAAGACTCTCTCTCAAAAAGAAAGAGACCTTGCTATTTTAGGTACAACTTTGAATTGACCTCCTGATATATATAAAACATATACTTAAGAAGCTCCCCTGCCATCTTTTCACTAAGCAAGGATACAGCAAGACATCAGCCATCTGCAACCAGAAAGTAGGCCCTTAGCAGAATCCAGCAGGCTGCGAGAAATGACTGTTTGTTGTTAGAGCCACTTGGTCTATGGCATTTTTGTAATAGCCTCAGCTGACTAAGACTCTGTATGAAACATGAAAAGACAAGCTACAGTCTGGGAGAAAATATTTCCAAACCACCTATCTGACAAAGGGCTAGTACCTAGAATACACAAAGAACTCTCATAACTAAACGGTTTAAAAAAAAAAAAAAAAAAAAAAAAAAAGCAAACATTACAAATAGAAAATGGGCAAAAGACATGAACAGACATTTGTCCAGAGAGGATCTCCAGATGGCAAATAAGCACATGAAAAGATTTTTGACATCATTAGCATCAGGGAAATACAAATTAAAATCTTTTATGAAGGGGTATCATTATTTATGAAGGGGTGAGAATAGCTAAAATGCAAACAGTGACAGCACATGTTGGCAATCATACAGAGAAACCCGATCACTCATACACTGCTAGTGGGAATTAAAAATGGTTCAAACACTCTAGAAGGCATTTTTGCAGTTTTTAAAATAAAACTAAACATGCAATTACTGTAAAAATCAGCATTCATACTCGTGGATATTTATCTTGGAGAAATAAAAATTTACTTTCACACAAAAACCTGTACACAAAGGTTCACAGCAGCTTTATTTGTAATAGCCCAGCTCTGGAAAACTGCAATACCAAAAACCCAGATATTCTTCAGTTGTTTAGGATTAAACCAATGTGGTACATGCATACCGTGGAATACTACTCAGCAATAAAAAGGAGTGAACTAATGATACATGCAACAACATGGATGAGTCTAAAGGGAATTATGCTGAGTGGAAAAAGCCAGTTCTGAAAGGTTACATGCTGTGCAGTCCACTTATGCAACATTCTTGAAATGACAAAATTATAAAAAATGGAGAACAGACTAGTGATTGACAGGGGATCGGAACCGGGGGTTGAGTGCGGAGCAGGGAAAGAGGTGAATGTGTCTATGAAAGGTCAGCCCTGGGGGGACCCGTGAGGTGATGGGACTTTTCTTTATTCTGACTGTACCAGTGTCAGTATCCTGGCTGTGACACTGAACTACAGATTTGCCAGATGTCACCACTGAGAGAAAACCAGTAAAGGGTATCCTGGATCTCTCTGTAGGATTTCTTACAATTGCATGTCAATATACAATTATCTCAAGATAAAAAGTTTCACTTGAGTTACAGGTTGTGATTGATAAAAATTGCCCACCTCTTGTGGCCAGGCGCAGTGGCTCACGCCTGTAATCCCAGCACTTTGGGAGGCCGAGGCGGGTGGATCACGAGGTCAAGAGATCGAGACCATCCTGGTCAACATGGTGAAACCCCGTCTCTACTAAAAATTAAAAAAATCAGCTGGGCATGGTGGCGCGTGCCTGTAGTCCCAGCTACTCAGGAGGCTGAGGCAGGAGAATTGCCTGAACCCAGGAGGCAGAGGTGGCGGTGAGCCGAGGTCGCGCCATTGCACTCCAGCCTGGGTAACAAGAGCGAAACTCCGTCTCAAAAAAAAAAAAAAAAAAAATTGCCTACCTCCTTAAATGTTGGCCATCTTAGGATTTTCTTAGACATGTTATTGCCTACCTAATAATTACCGAAAATTGTAAAACACATCGTTGAATATTATGAACAGTTTGATCAGCATTGGAAAGGAACAAACGAATGTGTTTCTATGAAAGGCCAATTTTGATTATGAGAAAACATAGACACACAAAACAAAACCTCTGTGAAGTAGGTGGCAGTCAGCCTGGCTCGTTCTGGGTCCTAGCAGGAGGGCTGAGGACTCTGCCCTCTGGGATTTCGGGATGAGGCTGACGTTCTCCTGCACCTTTCCTCGCAGGATCTCCTCTTCAGCGTGTGCGCCCTCAACGTCCTGTCCACGATCGTGTGTGCGCTGGCCACAGCCATGTGCTGCATGCAGATGGTCTCCTCCGACGTCCTGCAGATGGTGAGTGGCCCGATCCCCTCCTCCTCTACCCAGTTTGAAACCAGTGCAGGAGTGGACGCTTCTGGCTTCAGCCCAATGCAGTGAGGACGATGGCCCCTGACAGTGCATGACACCTGGAGATCACCTTGTGTTGCCCTCTGGAAGACCAGGCATCTGCATGCGTCGTGCCGCTGATGTGTGTATTTTAGGTGGTACTGGAGCTCCATATTGACAGAGTTCTGCCGCTGTCATGTTCTTTAGGATGGCCCCTGGTGTGTGCCCTTGAGTAGTGTAGTGAAATTCCTGCAGCCCTGGATGTCCCCTGGACCAGCACCTCCAAAGCAAGGTGTCTTTCTCTGGCTTCAGAATTCTCTTTTAATCCAGGAAGTTTAGGAGTGTTAGATCAGTTCTTTTCTCACTGGAAAATTGCCAGCCTGTGCATTTTTAATTTGCTAATGAACCCTGAGCTCATACTCCAGCAGCCAGTCACTGGTCATCATTTGGCCCTCTGCCCAGGGTCGTACACAGGAAGACCTGCTGCTCCCAGGGGCAGCAAAGAGGCCAGGAGCATGGTTCACTAACATATGTTATAATATGTGGGTTATTGAAGGCTCTTCCTGTTTCAATGTGAATGGAACACAGCCTACTGATCAGAATGCTACTGAGTACAATAAAGAGAAATTGATGAGAAGATACTATTCTTCCATGGTAAGGGTAGGAATAGCTGCGTGCCCGCGCGCGCGCACGCGTTTGTGTGTGTGTGTGTGTGTGTGTGTGTGTGTGTGTGTGTGTGTGTGTCTCCATGTGTGTCTTTCTGTCTTTCTGCCTCTGTCTCTGTCTCTCAGTTTGCCCCTTTGAGACCTACCCTGCTTCCCATGCAATGTTTTATGCATCTTATGCAAGAAAAGGCAGCTTGTTTTTATAGAGAGTTTTTTATGTGCTCTTCGTTATCATTCACCCTGTGGCAGTCAACATCAGTTGATCAAGATATAGGGCCAGAGAGCATCATTACCAAGACGTTAAAAATTCATTGGTCCTAATTGCATGCCACGGGAGTCTCTCCCTCCTGGTGTATATCCACACAGCTGTCACAGCCAGGCTGCCCTTTCTGGGAGGCTACAGTTTTCTGAAAGGCATCTAATTAAGCAGCTCTTCGGTAGCCATGAACTTCTGCCCTTGTTCATCGGGGCCTCATGTTGGCAATTTTCTCCAGTGTGTTCTGTAAAGCAAAGGTTAAATACCTGGGGCTTCTCCTCACCTCAGCAGATTTTACTATTGATCTGTAAATATCACATCAGTTTCACCAAACTTACAGAACTAAAGGCATGTACAGGCTAAAAGTTTGCATTCTCCTGGTTTTATGCATTAAAATGAAAATTACCGACTAAATAAGAATAAAGTAAATTCTCGATGTGAGAGCGTACACAGTGATCACAGCAGCGTGCAGAGTCACTCTGTAGTTGTGATGGGTGGGGCGTGAGCAGGCCTGGAGCTGTGGGTCCGAAGCCAGGCATGCCCGGGTCTGAGTCCCACCTCTTCTGCATACGAGGCAGGTGATTCAGGGCATCTCACTGAACCTGCCTGTGCCTCGGTTTCCTCACCTGTGAAATGGAACACATGGGGTGCCTGAGGATCCCTAATACCTGTGATCTGTTTTGATTTGAAATGTGCAGGGACTATCAGTCTGTCACTGGGATGTCTCAGCAATGCCTACAGACACAGTGGCTGAGGCTCTTTACCAGCAGAAAATACCATGCATGGGAATGGCAGGCTGCGGTGACATTGGCTGCTTTCAGAAGCCCTGGTTGTTTCACCACCGAGTACTCTGTGGGTGAGTTTGCCTCACACCCCTGGCTTGGAAGCAGAAATAGCAGACTTCCTGCCAGCATGTCCTTTGCACTGGATGACGGTGTGGTGGGAGCCCAAGGCTCTGCTCCCCTGATGACACCCTGATTCTGCTGCCAGGCTTCAGAGTCATGGGGGAGGCAAAAGGGAGCTGCTGCTGGGTGGCCATGGCACCCTGTGGGACTGGCATGATCTTGGACACATCACTGCCTGTGGGTCCCCGTTGCCTCAGCTCCAAAGAAGATCGAGTGTGTACCCTGCTGTGCACACTTGCTGCTGATGGGATGAGCCCACTTATCTGTGTGTGGGAATGGGTTTTGAAGAAACGCGGTGGCCACATGGAGGTCAGCTCTCGCCATGTGGGTTGGAGGCGTGAGTCAGGCTGACTGTGCAAACCATGCTTTTAGAGGAGTGGCAAAGCCCAGCAGCGTCATGGTCACGCCCTCAGGGATGGAACCCAGAAAGGAAGACGCCTCTGAAGCTCTTTTTAACTTTCTTTATTTCATTGTCTACTTTAATAAAAGAAGTAAAATATGATCACTGAAACAAGTAAAATAATGCAGCAGAATGTAAAGAAAAAGTTAACAGTCTGTCCTTCCCCCACCCCAGTCACCACTAACACTTTGAAGTGAATCTTTCCCTCCCTCCCTTCCCTCCCTCCTTCCTTCCTTCCTTCCCCCTCTCTTTCCTTCTTTTCCTTCCCTCCCTCCCTCCCTCCCTTCTTTTCTTTTCTTCTTTTCCTTTCCTTTCCCCTTTCCCTTTTCCTTATTTTGTAGAGAGAGTCTTGCCGTATTGCCGAGGCTGCTGTTGAACTCTGGCCTCAAGTGATCCTCCTGCCTCACCCCACCCTCAACCTTCCATTTCTCTCTTGATTTCTTAATGCTTCAATAAACGTATATAAATAGTCTGTCTTCCATTTTTCTCCCTCTCCCTCTTTCTCTCCTTCCTTCCCTTCTTCCTTCCTTCCCTTTCTTCCTTTCTTCCTTCTTTTTAGCCAAAATGGAATTGTGTCATTCATATTACTCTGCAGTTGAATTTTATAACCTGAAACAGTCACGGACATTCCTCTAGGTCAGCATATGGAAAGATCATGTTAGACTTCACGGATGCATAGTATCAGTTACTATGTGATGTCGGCTACTTGCCATTTCTTCATCTGTGGATACTCGAGTTGACTCCTGTTTTTGGTGCTGGTGTTGGTTTTGGTTGTGCTGCCGCAGATGGTGTGATGGTGAGGCCTTTGTGCAAACAGCTGTAGCTCTCTGAACTGGCCTCTGCTGAGCCTTCACGCCATTTAAGCATGGTTCTCCCTCGTGGCTGCAGAGCACACTGCCTGCCGCCCACAGTACAGATCCCTGCTAGAAGCTTCCGCATTTCACACCTGCACCATTTCCGCTCCAAGAAGCTGGGCTGTAAGCTTTCCAAGGGACAGTTGTAGCTATTCCTAACTAGCTTATGCCAGTGACATTTGTTGTAATTACATATTCTAGTAATGTGTAAACCCATGAAATGCGTGCAGAAAGATAATTGTTTCTGTTATAACACAATCGAGTGCTTTTGAAAGATTTGGTGAAACTTTGGTGCTGCTGAATGTATTGCTCTCCATTTAGATGCAAGTGAGACAACTATGGGGGTTGCAATAAATGCTGATAAAAGTCTGGAGGAGCCGGGCGCAGTGGCTTACGCCTGTTATCCCAGCACTTTGGGAGGCTGAGGCAGGCGGATCACCTGAGGGTCAGGAGTTCAAGACCAGCCTGGTCAACATGGTGAAACCCAGTCTCTACTAAAAATACAAAAATTAGCCGGGCATAGTGGCACATGCTGGTAGTTCCAGCTACTTGGGAGGCTGAGGCAGGAAAATGGCTTGAACCTGGGAGGCGGAAGTTACGGTGAGCTGAGATTGTGGCATTGCACTCCAGCCTGGGTGACAGAGTGAGATTCCTTCTCAAAAAAATAAATAAATACATAAATCTAGAGGGAGTCCACTCGCACATTGCTTGACAAGTGCCTTTCAGCCGTAGCCCCACTTGAAAAACACAGAAAAGCATTGTTAGATCTATGTCTTATGGGTGCAGCTTATGTAAGAAAGACCACAGGGCACTCCACACAGCAGACTGACTCTCAGAAGAGTCTTTACTCGGGCAGAAAAAGGTCCATCCATGTATGTACAGTCAGCCCCACTTCAGCCAGCCATGGATCGACACTATTCAAGGAAAAAAAACACAATAAAAATAACAGAACAACAACAAAAATATAAATAAAAAACAGTGCACCATAACAGCTATTTCCATAGCATATACATTGTATTGGGAGTTAGAAATATTCGAGAAATGATTCAGAGTATACAGGAGGATGTGTGTAGGTTATGTGCAAATAAGACACCATTTTATATAAAAGATTTCACCCTTCACCGATTTTAGTACTCTGTGGCAGGAAAGGTTCTGGAAGCAATTCCCTGTGGATTCAGAGGGACACTGTATACAGCGTTTTTCTTTTGCTGGGGATCAGTGAGATGGGGAATTGGGTAACAGCTGTCTTAACATACAATTCACCTATCATACAATTACCCCATTTAAAATTCAGAGGTTTTCCCAGCACTTTGGGAGGCTGAGGCGGGCAGATCACCAGGTGAAGAGATCGAGACCATCCTGGCCAACACGTGGAAACCTCATCTCTACTAAAAATACAAAAATTAGCTGGGTGTGGTAGCGTGTGCCTGTAATCCCAGCTACTTGGGAGACTGAAGCAGGAGCATTGCCTGATCCTGGGAGACGGAGGTTGCAGTGAGCCGAGATCACGCCACTGCATTCCAGCCTGGGCAACACAGCAAGACTCCATCTCAAAAAAAAAAAAAAAATCAGTGGTTTTAATATATTCACAGAATTGTGAAACCTTCACCACAGTCCATTTAAGAGCATTTTTATTATCCCCCAAGAGAAACCCATACCCTTCAGCACTCACCCCTATTTCCTTTCCAGGCTTCAGCCCCAGGAAACCACTAATCTACTTTCTGTATCCATGGATTTGCCTGTCCCACCTTTCACATAAATTCAGTGATACAATACGTGGCCGTTTGTGTCTGGCTTCTTCCAATTAACACGATGTTTTCAAGGTTCATTCCTGTTTCTACAGGTACCAACATTTCATTACTTTTTACGGCTGAACAATAGATTCCG